ATGTTGGTAGTTGTGGGGCTAGACATAGAGCCATTCAGTGTGCGGGTATGTTGGTAGTTGTGGGGCTAGACATAGATCCCTTCAGTGTGCGGGTATGTTGGTAGTTGTGGGGCTAGACATAGAGCCATTCAGTGTGCGGGTATGTTGGTAGTTGTGGGGCTAGACATAGAGCCATTCAGTGTGCGGGTATGTTGGTAGTTGTGGGGCTAGACATAGAGCCCTCTATTGGCTGGTATGTTGGTAGTTGTGAGGCTAGACATAGAGCCATTTAGTGTGCGGGTATGTTGGTAGTTGTGGGGCTAGACATAGATCCCTCTGGTGCGCTGGTATGTTGGTAGTTGTGGGGCTAGACATAGAGCCCTCTATTGGCTGGTATGTTGGTAGTTGTGAGGCTAGACATAGAGCCATTCAGTGTGCGGGTATGTTGGTAGTTGTGGGGCTAGACATAGATCCCTTCAGTGTGCGGGTATGTTGGTAGTTGTGGGGCTAGACATAGAGCCCTCTATTGGCTGGTATGTTGGTAGTTGTGGGGCTAGACATAGAGCCCTCCAGTGCGGTGGTATGTTGGTAGTTGTGGGCTAGACATAGAGCTCTCCAGTGCGCTTGTATGTTGGTATTTGTGGGGCTAGACATAGAGCCCTTTAGTGTGCTGGTATGTTGGTAGTTGTGGGGCTAGACATAGAACCCTCCAGTGCGCTAGTATGTTGGTAGTTGTGGGGCTAGACATAGAACCCTCTATTACGCTGGTATGTTGGTAGTTGTGGGGCTAGACATAGAACCCTCTATTACGCTGGTATGTTGGTAGTTGTGGGGCTAGACATAGAGCCGTCCAGTGCGCTGGTATGTTGGTAGTTGTGGGCTAGACATAGAGCCATCCAGTGAGCTGGTATGTTGGAATTTGTGGGGCTAGACATAGAGCCCTCCAGTGAGCTGGTATGTTGGTAGTTGTGGGGCTAGACATAGAGCCCTACAGTGCGCTGGTATGTTGGTAGTTGTGGGGCCAGACATAGAGCCCTCCAGCATCGGTACTTTAAGTAGACGCTATCTGCTGCCAGACTTAAAGTATAGATAGTGGTTTTTGTATTAGTTGTTGGTAGTTGTGGGGCTAGACATAGAGCCATTCAGTGTGCGGGTATGATGGTAGTTGTGGGCTAGACATAGAACCCTCCAGTGTGTTGGTATGTTGGTAGTTGTGGGGCTAGACATAGAGCCCTAAAGTGCGCTGGTATGTTGGTAGTTGTGGGGCTAGACATAGAGCCCTCTATTACGCTGGTATGTTGGTAGTTGTGGGGCTAGACATAGAGCCCTCTATTACGCTGGTATATTGGTAGTTGTGAGGCTAGACATAGAGCCCTCAAGTACGCTGGTATGTTGGTAGTTGTGGGCTAGACATAGAGCCCTCAAGTACGCTGGTATGTTGGTAGTTGTGAGGCTAGACATAGAGCCCTCTAGTGTGCTGGTATGTTGGTAGTTGTGGGGCTAGACATAGAGCCCTCCATTGGCTGGTATGCTGGTAGTTGTGGGGCTAGACATAGAGCCCTAAAGTGCGCTGGTATATTGGTAGTTGTGGGGCTAGACATAGAGCCCTCTATTACGCTGGTATATTGGTAGTTGTGAGGCTAGACATAGAGCCGTCCAGTGCGCTGGTATGTTGGTAGTTGTGGGCTAGACATAGAGCCATCCAGTGAGCTGGTATGTTGGTATTTGTGGGGCTAGACATAGAGCCCTCCATTGGCTGGTATGTTGGTAGTTGTGGGGCTAGACATAGAGCCCTACAGTGCGCTGGTATGTTGGTAGTTGTGGGGCCAGACATAGAGCCCTCCAGCATCGGTACTTTAAGTAGACGCTATCTGCTGCCAGACTTAAAGTATAGATAGTGGTTTTTGTATTAGTTGTTGGTAGTTCTGGGGCTAGACATAGAGCAATTCAGTGTGCGGGTATGATGGTAGTTGTGGGCTAGACATAGAGCCCTCCAGTGTGTTGGTATGTTGGTAGTTGTGGGGCTAGACATAGAGCCCTAAAGTGCGCTGGTATGTTGGTAGTTGTGGGGCTAGACATAGAGCCCTCTATTACGCTGGTATGTTGGTAGTTGTGGGGCTAGACATAGAGCCCTCTATTACGCTGGTATATTGGTAGTTGTGAGGCTAGACATAGAGCCCTCAAGTACGCTGGTATGTTGGTAGTTGTGGGCTAGACATAGAGCCCTCAAGTACGCTGGTATGTTGGTAGTTGTGAGGCTAGACATAGAGCCCTAAAGTGCGCTGGTATATTGGTAGTTGTGAGGCTAGACATAGAGCCCTCTAGTGTGCTGGTATGTTGGTAGTTGTGGGGCTAGACATAGAGCCCTTCATTGGCTGGTATGCTGGTAGTTGTGGGGCTAGACATAGAGCCCTAAAGTGCGCTGGTATATTGGTAGTTGTGAGGCTAGACATAGAGCCCTCTAGTGTGCTGGTATGTTGGTAGTTGTGGGGCTAGACATAGAGCCCTCCATTGGCTGGTATGCTGGTAGTTGTGGGGCTAGACATAGAGCCCTAAAGTGCGCTGGTATATTGGTAGTTGTGGGGCTAGACATAGAGCCCTCTATTACGCTGGTATATTGGTAGTTGTGAGGCTAGACATAGAGCCCTCAAGTACGCTGGTATGTTGGTAGTTGTGGGGCTAGACATAGAGCCATTCAGTGCGCTGGTATGTTGGTAGTTGTGGGGCCAGACATAGAGCCCTCCATTGGCTGGTATGCTGGTAGTTGTGGGGCTAGACATAGAGCCCGCTATTGGCTGGTATGTTGGTAGTTGTGGGCTAGTCATAGAGCCCTCTAGTGCGCTGGTATGTTGGTAGTTGTGGGGCTAGACATAGAGCCCTCCATTGGCTGGTATGTTGGTAGTTGTGGGGCTAGACATAGAGCCCTCTATTGGCTGGTATGTTGGTAGTTGTGGGGCTAGACATAGAGCCTTCAGTGCGCTGGTATGTTGGTAGTTGTGGGGCTAGACATAGATCCCTCCAGTGCGCTGGTATGTTGGTAGTTGTGGGCTAGACATAGAGCCCTCAATTGGCTGGTATGTTGGTAGTTGTGGGGCTAGACATAGAGCCCTCTATTGGCTGGTATGTTGGTAGTTGTGGGGCTAGACATAGAGCCCTCTATTGGCTGGTATGTTGGTAGTTGTGGGGCTAGACATAGAGCCCTCTAGTGCGCTGGTATGTTGGTAGTTGTGGGGCTAGACATAGAGCCCTCCAGTGCGCTGGTATGTTGGTAGTTGTGGGGCTAGACATAGAGCCCTCTAGCATCGGTACTTTAAGTTAACGGTATTAGTGGTATGTTGGTAGTTGTGGGGCTAGACATAGAGCCCTCTAGCATCGGTACTTTAAGTTAACGGTATTAGTGGTATGTTGGTAGTTGTGGGGCTAGACATAGAGCCGTCAATTGGCTGGTATGTTGGTAGTTGTGGGCTAGACATAGAGCCCTCCATTGGCTGGTATGTTGGTAGTTGTGGGCTAGACATAGATCCCTCCAGTGAGCTGGTATGTTGGTAGTTGTGGGGCTAGACATAGAGCCCCCCAGTACGCTGGTATGTTGGTAGTTGTGGGCTAGACATAGAGCCATTCAGTGTGCGGGTATGTTGGTAGTTGTGGGGCTAGACATAGAGCCCTCTAGCATCGGTGTTTTAAGTAGACACTATCCGCTGACAGACTTGAAGTATAGATAGTGGTTTCGGTATCAGTCGTCGGTAGTAGGTGGATGTAGTATGGTGGTTGTATATGTTAGAGGCTTTAGGTTTTAGAGGTAATCGTAATGTGTGCTAGGTTTTTAGTAGATGTGTATATAAGCAAACCTAATTAAGGCTGGGTAAAATAAAAAAAAAAGCTTGCATTTGATTTTTACATGTGCTTAAGATATAACATGCATATACATAGTATATATTGCTGTGGTATTATTGAGATGGACGTATACAGTTCGACATTTGCATAATACAAATTATTGGCATAAATACAAATTACTTGTTTTTGTGTGTGTTTATAAGTAAGGCAAACGTTTTACGAATACGTATGCTCATTACTTACTCACACTGACACTCATAAATACTAAGGACATGATATTTTAAGCGTTGTGTATTGATTTAATTGTAGTGTTTGGAAAAGGTGTTGTGAAATCATGGAAAGTAAAGTTTCTAGGTTGAGCTACTACGAATTAAAGTGCATATTTATTAGGTTGTATTTAGCAGTAGTGAGGGTATAAGATAATGGTGTTTTGCAAATGTTTTAGGCTGAAGTGTTGCTATTTTTTATGGGATAGCGTGGCCTAAGCGGTAGAGCGCTAGGGTGCTAACCGGAAAGTCTCGAGTTTGAATCCAGGTCCAAGTCAGTAGCATCAGCATGTCCCTGAGTCAACCCTGCTGTGATGGGTAGCTCGCTCATTTTAAGGAAGATGGAGGTGGCTGTGCAAACTACTTAACAAACCTTCATACACGGAAGTCGAGAAACATAATAACTAAACTCTATTGGCAAAATGGATCACTAGGTCTAAACATTATTATTTACTTTACTTTTTCTGGTTTTTTTTGGCTGAGTTGAGTTGTTGTTGAGTGGAGATAATTTGTTTGCCAGTTGCCAGGTAAATTGTCATGCCAGAAGTGTACACAGACGGCTCCTGTCATGCCAGACAAACGCCCCGTGTCCCTGGAGATCTGTACGTCCAACTGCGACCTCCCTAATCAGGTCAAGGCAATAGCTTAACGCCGTTAGTTTTTTGGCGGGGGGTGGGGGAGGGGGATGGGGTCTTAAGCCTTTTAAATCAATTACGGCAGGATCGCCTCGCCTCAATGGAATGAAAAAAATAAGTCTTGGAAAGGAAACATGATGTGGGAGCGCTGACACTGTGTTAGAAGACATGTTGAACCAGGATGTTAGCAGACATGTTGAACCAGTCTGTTAGCAGACATGTTGAACCAGTCTGTTAGCAGACATGTTGAACCAGGCAGACATGTTGAACCAGGCTGTTAGCAGACATGTTGAACCAGGCAGACATGTTGACCAGGCTGTTAGCAGACATGTTGAACCAGGCAGACATGTTGAACCAGGCTGTTAGCAGACATGTTGAACCAGGCAGACATGTTGAACCAGGCTGTTAGCAGACATGTTGAACCAGGCAGACATGTTGAACCAGGCTGTTAGCAGACATGTTGAACCAGGCAGACATGTTGAACCAGGCTGTTAGCAGACATATTGAACCAGTAGGTTAGCAGACATGTTGAACCAGGCTGTTAGCAGAGATGTTAAACCAGGCACTCAGTTAGCAGACATGTTGAACCAGGCACTCTGTTAGCAGACATGTTGAACCAGGCTGTTAGCAGACATGTTGAACCAGGCTGTTAGCAGACATGTTGAACCAGGCTGTTAGCAGACATGTTGAACCAGGCTGTTAGCAGACATGTTGAACCAGGCTGTTAGCAGACATGTTGAACCAGGCAGACATGTTGAACCAGGCTGTTAGCAGACATGTTGAACCAGGCTGTTAGAAGACATGTTGAACCAGGCTGTTAGCAGACATGTTGAACCAGGCAGACATGTTGAACCAGGCTGTTAGAAGACATGTTGAACCAGGCTGTTAGCAGACATGTTGAACCAGGCTGTTAGCAGACATGTTGAACCAGGCTGTTAGCAGACATGTTGAACCAGGCTGTTAGCAGACATGTTGAACCATGCGTATGGAACTGCTGTGTCTAAGCAGATGCTTTTCTGGCCAGCATTTAAAGTCAGAAGTTTGGGTTCTCGCAGCGTGTGGATGGGCATGGAAGGGGAGGGAGGGAGTAGATTATTATAGGCTACCTTCTTCTTTCTATTTCTGTTTTCTCTCTGATATATATAGGCCTATATATATATATATATATATATATATATATATATATATATATATATATATATATATATATATATATATATATATATAAATATATATATATATATATATATATATATATATATATATATATATATATATATATATAATTTATATCATACAAATATTACGACTCGTATTATATTATTCCAAATGTGATATTTGTGTTTGAAATGTTTACCAGCGGTATTTAGTATAGACAGTTATAAAATATGTATAATACTGTAGAAATCTTTCCCTACATAGCCATACAAAATCGATAGTCTAGCAATGTTTTTTTTTAATGAATGCATTGTTCGAGTTTTTAAAGGAGAAACGAAACAAAAGCCGACGTGTGTGGAAAAAAATATACGCAAGTTTGCAATTAAAATCGTATACAAATAAAAATACTATGTAGCTGGTGTGTGATGACGCAAGGTTGCGTCGTAGAGGTCAGGTAAATAGCAGAGACATAGTTGGGTTTAGACCAATGGACGTACAGGAGCTGACGGTCACGTGGGACGGTCAGCTGACCACTGAGGCGTGGGTCAGTAGAGAGATTAGCGGCAGTTGATAGGTAGCTAGCGAGGAGAGCAAAAGGTGTTATGAAGCGGTCAGAGACTGTCGAGTTTTAGATGTGTAGGGCTAGGTAACCGTTGATAATTAGTGAAGAGAGCGGTCAGATAGGTAGATCTAGGAAACGGCAGACAGTAGTAGTAGAGAGTTTAGAATAGGCTAGTTTGGTAGGGAATTAATTTGATTGTTTAATAAAGGACATTTATCTTTTGTATCGGACTTGTGTGTGTTAATTCCAAACTATAACCAAGCTGGTATTATCTTCATCACGCCCACTCACACATCGGGGTGGTTGATGTTTATATTCCCCCCCCCCCTCACAACTGGTGTGACTAGAAGAACTTCTAATTCACTCGTACCCTCACACGGTGCCTCGTTTGAATTTGGTCATCGCAAATAACTACTTCAACACGTTTGTCTTTATTTTATCCGTTTAGAAAATGTGATAGGCAGCACCAAAAAACATTCGGAATAACAGCCTACATTTAACTAAATATCGGTGTTTTAGTTCAGATCAAATATTAAAAAAAAAAAAAAATAGGCAGCTCTTAAACTTTAAGACTGTATTGAGTGTAACAGCATCATGACTTTCTTACAGTTATCTATGTAAAAACAATAATTGTTGTAAAAAAACAAAAGGTTTTGGAAATATAAAAATGTGTTTATATATTAATAAACTTAGCCAGCTTACAAATATTTTGTCCACCGCTCAAGCCTAAAGTGTCCCAATACCCACAATTTGAGAATCTCAGCTCTCTAATCTAATGCAGATTTGTTTGTTTAGTTAAATTCGGAAATAAAAAAAAAACCTAGAAAATAGCATTTCGAAACGGCTTACTCCCCCTTCATCTCATGTGGATTCAAATCGCATAAGCCCTTTTTAGACAGAGTGGCTATCAATGCTTTATAAAACATACCCACCTAATTCAGCATGGGACATGAGTCTATTCTTGTATACGAAGATTTTTGCACTTGAATTTTTTTTTTTTTAAATCTCCGAAATTGTGTTATGGTATCGATTCATCTAGCAAGAACGTCGTCCAAGGAAAAAAAATGTGTTCCTGTATGCATTCCAGAATTTTTGAAATTTTCTTTTTAACAAACTCAACACTGTGTAGGCGAGTTCACGGAGTCGCTTGAATAAGAACTGAACTTTAAACAAGCCTCAGAAAATAAAATGCTTCTATATTTTTTTTCAGATCTTTTTTTTTTTTTTGTTTTTTTTTAATGAAGAAAGACAAAATAATGTTAATATGTTAGGCTTATTTTAAGTTGCATCGATCGAAAACGTTATTTAAGTAGGGTGTGTGTGTGCGTGTGGGGGGGGGGGGGTCTATCATGTCTAACAAAGCTGTCTACTTATGTTTAAGAACTGTTTTTTTTTAAATCTTGTCACTGTCTTGTAAGGATTGGGCTACTAAACCGACGTGTGATTGCCTACACTATTTCAGTAGGGTGTGTGTTGGGGGGGGGGGGGGACTATGTCCATCAAATTTAACAACGTTGCCTATTTTTGTTATAGAAGTGTGTTTCGTGTTTAAAAAAATACTTTGTCACGGCCTTATGAGGATTGGGCTACTAAACCGACGTGTGATTGGCTACAGTATTTCAGTATTGTGTGTGTGTGTGAGAGAGAGAGAGTGTGGGTGATCCAACAGGTCTAACGACGATGTCACTTATTTTTTAGAAATATTTTTCACTTGTTTAAAAAAAAATAATTCGTTACAGTAGCTGCATGTGTAGATTTAGAGCAACCCCCCACCCCCCCCCCCGCCCTTTTTTTCCACAGTGAGCGGTGTAACATCTAGCAAGACTAATGAAATGTTTTCACCGTGTTCTTTAGATGTGTAGCTTTATTTTTTTAACTCTGTCAGACCTCTCCAGTTTATCTAAGGAGAGATGTTTTAGTTTAAGTGAGCTTTGAAAACATTTCACCAACAATTTATAATTAAAAGATATCAATCAAACTTTTGTCCTGTCCAATGGCTAGGCAAAAGAAAATTGTTTAAAACTTCAATTTTTAAATACGTAAATTAATTCTAAACCTATGGGTTTTATTTTAAAATGTTCAAAATTGCAATCATAGAGGTTTAAACTTCAGATTTGTCGTAATCAATAAAAGAAACAATTCCGGAATGTGCCGCCAACATTTTGTTAAAATAAAAAAAATATCAATACAAGAGGTCACTGTTGTGATGAGACGAGATACAAATCGATGGTTAACCCTTGTTTGGCCCGCTCCAAGGAAGATTCTAATTCGTTCACGATTTGGCCAGATTAAAATCTATAGTTAACCCCTTAACCGCCAGAGGGATAACAATTCACATCACTTGAACAGACAATGTGAGAATTGCTTAGATCATCACGTGATGCGGTGGTGTGGAATAAAACAAGATGGCGCCACTGATTGTAAAGAAGTGCATCGATGTGAGATTGTATGGTATTTAGACCGGTAATGGTTCCGTGTGGTCGGGTTGGGTGCTTATTGGTGCTAAACCGAAAAGTTTCGAGTTTGAACCACCGGGCAGATAAGGCTGGTTACCTGGAGACAGTCACTCTTCTAGGAGAGACAACTCCAAAATCAAACAACTGCTGCGTTGTAATTTGTTCTTAGTTGGACAAATGCTATGGAAGCAAATACAAAAACAAAAAGAGGCTGAATTCGGAGTCTACTTGGCAAGTTTCTGCTGTATGTGCTTTCTTTTATTTGATTGATGATTTCTTCTTGACAAGTTTCTGCTGAATGCTTTCTTTTATTTGGTTAATGATTCCTTCATGACACGTTTCTGCTGTATGTTCCTTCTTTTATTTGTTTGATGATTCCCTCATGACAAGTTTCTGAAAACAATTGTGGGTGTCTAAACGCGTGTGCCAGCTTTACAGGCTATACAATCATATTGAAAATACCCAGTAACGCGTCGAAGACAAAGTTTCGAAACAATAAAGGGACATAATTTATCCAGGACATGAATAAGACAAGTTGTAAAAACAACACAGGGACGTAACTGAAAGCATCAAAAAACGCAAGTGGCATAATTTAATATAACAGGAATGTATGTAAGATTGCGTTGTGAATTATAAAAAATTGGACTGAGAAAGAAACAGAGGTAGAGACATTAACAGACGGAACATAAAACTGTCACAATCTGGAAGATTTCAATGAGACAGTTGAGATGAAAACATATAGTGTCTTGTGCTGGCTTCATTTTGATGACTATCAGGGAGCGAATTTCATTCTATATGGACGATGCAATAGAGCTGAAACAATCACTTTGATACAGCCTTCAATATGTAGTTAGTCTATGCTTATGTATCGGAATGTGATAGACGTAAAAAGTTACGAGTTTCACTTTTTTTTTAAAATTCACGATATACTAAATAATAGTGTGTTTAGTAATATAAAAGTATAACAAATAATAGTGTGTTTAGTAAAATAAAGGTATAATAAATAATATTGTGTTTAGTAATATAAAGGTATAATAAATAATAGTGTGCTTAGTAATATAAATGTATACTAAATAATAGTGTGCTTAGTAATATAAATGTATACTAAATAATAGTGTACTTAGTAATATAACCATTCGCATTTTTCACCAAATTTAATCAGGTACTCGTAAGAGCTGTGTAAGCTCACGTTGTTTTCATTGCATTCGATAATTCCTATAATACACAT